TGAGTCCTGTTGGTGTTTTACAACGTTACGTAGATTTATCTGGCATTGACTTGAGTAGTCCCCTCCCTTTATTTAGACCCCTTGTTTTTCACCGTAGTAGTTCTACCTATACCCTGAGAAGTGGAAAGATTTCTTATACTACTTTTAGAGATATCTTAAGGAATATCTTAAGTCAGTTGGGCTACAACCCTAATGATTATAGTCTTCATAGTTCAAGATCCGGTGATATTACATCTGCGGTACGTAAAAGTGGGAACTCGATTCCAGAGACTTCTTAAAATACATGGTAGGTGGAAATCTGATTCTGCCAAGGATATGTATGTTGAAGAAAGCCTTCAAAACAAGTTACATGAAACCAATTATTTAGGTTTATAACATATCGTCGAGCGTATATTAGTTTCTGCATACAGTAGTATCTAAAGAATTGTAAAAAAAAAAAAAAAGGAGATAAATTAAATAAATAACAATAATGATAACTTTCTAATTTCTATCTTATAATAAACTGTGTTTTGGACCCGCTTGCGCATCCTACCATATTTCCCGTGTGATCTGTTTATATTACGGGAGTTTAAGGGTAAAATAATTTACGTTCCTTTGAGCGAAGCGAATTAGAACGTAATTAGTATTTTTTTACAACCCCACCGGTTAGTTATAACATCACCTTTTGTGCTCTAGAGCACAAAATGTGCCCCGAATGTACAATATGAATAATTCCAAATTAACAAAATACTAACAAAAGACAAAACTATTTGTTCATTTGTTTTGTATCTCGTAGTTTTGTTTCTTTTTTTGTTTTGTTTTGTTTCTTCATTTTGTCTTTTGCTATTGCAAAGAAAAATTACCAATTGGATAGTGGTTTAGCGTAGTCTGTAGTTTTATCAACAAAGAATTTCGTCATCACAGTGGTAAAACGTTTTGCGCAGCCGAGTGAGTCTGCAAAAAAAACTGTACTGGCTTTCCTTCCTTGTCTTGAGCAGGGCCAACACATGTTAAGATTTATTGCGCAAGAATTTCTATACTACCCCGGTTTGGTGGATTAAATGCGTCGTTTGTGGAGGGCTGCATGGGAATTCCATGGTCTGGGGCATCATTAAGATTATCTTCTCCATGCCTCTGGATCTTAATAACCAACAAAATTATTATCACAACAGCAATAGCCAGTAACACAAACAAAAAAATGTTTAAAGGGAGGACTTTATGGAATGCTGTCGCAAAATCCACTTCTTCCTTGCTTCCACCTAAAACTGAACAGATCATTTATTTCTTTTCAGTCATAAATTATTATAAATGCACTCTGTAATGCTGCAGATCTCAGAAATCACCAGGCACAGTCCATATTAACATGAAAATAGAAAAATAAAACAATGACACCAACAGTTTACTTTCCGAGTGCTAACGGCTATGTACCTTTCCTAAATCTGTCATATCTTGGAATAAATAATGTTTCATCGCCTTTTAGCAGACAGGAAACCGAGACCACAAACAATAGAAATTTTAGCCAAAGCCCAAACAATGATCCTCGTCAAGAAACAACCGTGTACATACCTGGGGGAGGTGATCGCGCAAAGCCTGGGATGCCTGTGTAAAAAGTCATATTAAGTATGTTGTAAGTTATAAGTTACATGACACGCCCTTACAATGTTGTTGTAGTAAGATGTTACACTGTCTGTGTTACACAGAGAGACGAACGATCGATGAGAAAGTCAATAACAAAACAGACAAAAAAAACAAGTTATCAACAGTTGATCATGGGAGGTTTTGCATACAACTTTAGCATTGTTATAGAAAATATTTTTCTTCATCGCGGTTTTGTAGATAAATGAACGTTTAATCATTTGCCTCATGTTCTTGGCTTGACTTGGAGAACGAAGATTAGGAAGGTTGTCCACGTTGACGACGGCTGCAGGCTCGTTCGTGGCTGACCAGACCGATGCGGGAAAGGCAGATCCGCGGGCAGTATCTGCAGAGAAGGGTGATGTCCGGAGTGATGGTGGAGGCGGGGCGGGCCTTCCTCCTCTGTCGCTTGTCTTTAAGTAGCTCACGTCTATCCTCCTCAAATTGAGCGGTGGCTTGGTTGATTGTGTGGTGCCAGGTACCACGGTCTGTGGCCAGGTCAGACCACTCTTTGTGGTCAATGTTGCAGGTGCTGAGTGACTTCTTTAGGCTACCCTTGAATCTCTTCTTTGGAGCCCCTCTCACACGATGTCCAGTTGAGAGTTCACCGTACATGACAATCTTAGGTAGGCGGTGGTCTTCCATTGGGGAAACATGACCACCCCATCGGAGCTGGTGCTTCAGGATCGTGGCTTCAATGCTGGGAATCTCGGCCTGCTCCAGGACTTCGACATTGGTGTTGAATCACACCAGTGGATATTGAGGATGGTGCACAGGCAGCGCTGTTGGAAGCGCTCGAGGAGGCGGATATGGTTGCGGTAAGTGACCCATGTCTCAGAGCCGTAGAGAAGGGTGGTGAGAACAACAGCCCTGTAGACGCGGAACTTTGTTTTGCTTTTCAGGTTCTTGTTGTTCCAGACTCGTTTGTATAGTCTGCCGAAGGAGCTATTGGCCTTTGCCAGTCTGTTGTCTACTTCCTTGTCCATCTTGGCGTCGGATGAGATGGTGCAACCCAAGTAGGTGAACTGCTGGGTTGATTTCAATTCTGTGTCGCCTATGCTTATGTGGGGAGGGTGGTATTCTACTTGAGGGCGGGCTGGTGAAGGACCTCTGTCTTCTTGAGGTTGACCTCGAGGCCAAACAGCCGCGAGCCATCTGCAAAGCATGACGTAATGCGCCGAAGAGCTCGCTCAGTATGGGCAACAAGGGCAGCGTCGTCCGCGAAGAGAAGATCTCGTATCATCCTCTCCTGGGTCTTTGTGTGTGCACGGAGTCGCCGTAGATTGAAGAGACTACAATCCAGACGGTACCTGATGTACACCCTTTCGTCAACATCCAAGTCCACAGTAGCTCGCTTGAGCATTATGCTGAATAATATTTTGAAGAGGGTCGGTGAAGAATCAGGCTAATCACTCGTGCATTGATCGCGGCGTTTCGACTGCTATACTGCTGGTTTTCGTCAGGCGACGTAATTGAAATGTAACAAACTTTCGACTTTGTCGCTTGACGAAGACTAGTATAGCAGTCAAAACGTTGCGATCAATACTCGATTGTTATGAGAATAATTCATCGCCTTTGAATGTGACAAAGCAGTTACTAACTTTCCAATTTCGAAAAGGCCATAATTGGTCAATGTTTTGATGACCACACAGATAGTATTGAAATGAAAGAAAAACTATAAACGCACGTCTACAAAAACCCCTAATCTGGGACATTAAGTCGCCTTAAATTGCTATAAGTCCCCTTAAGTCGCTTTTAGTCGCCCTATATGTATTTTGCCTGAAGTAGCTATTGGTTAGGCAATGTTATAGGGCCTCCACGCTTTTTCATTGACCCTATTCACCCCATTCCAATCGTACGATCAGAGGGCGTTACATAAAACTTATTTCATCTTTTGGGTTAAACGTTGCAGAGTTGAAACAAGTAAATGCTTGGGAGGTCCAGGTGATCCGATAAACGGTAGTGAAAAGGTCTTCTAAAAAGATTCGACTCTTTATAAATGAGAAGTCAAAATTTTTCTGGAGCCAGGAAAAGTAGTTGGAGAGACTAGAAGGGAAGTCTTCTTACGAGGGACCTTAGCATATAGTTCTCAATATGGTATTGGAATGTTTTGTCTTACTGAGGAAGGAGAACATCAAATTGGTTAGGTCCCTGAAAAGGACCAACCCACTTCCACGCCAAAATTGACAGTACATTGTACAAGTGCCAAAAAAAATGTGAGATAAGTTTAGCATTTTTATAATTTGTGAAGTGTTGTGAAATAATTAATCATGTAAATAATCTTACATAATTTTTATGAATTATGTGGAAAATTTTTTGATAGTTTTGTGTAAATCATGGTTCCTTTCTTAGATTTAAAATTTATGTCACTAAGTGCATATTTTTTTGTAGGTTTGTTTGATGTTGTTTTTTTTATTACTCTAGGTATAAAATTATTTCCTGGCTATTTATTCACTAGCTTTAAGTTTATTCATGTGATTGAACAATAACTGTTGCGGTAATTCTGTCTAAGCATTTTTAGCTAAAATGGTTTTGAAATCTGGATATTTTAGACAATGATGACTTATGTGGATAGGTTTGCGGAGAGACTGTTGCCAACTTGAGTATAACCACTTAAATCGCCTTAAGTCGCCTAAAATCGCCTAAAGAAGCAATGCTTTGTTAATTATCAATTTTTCTTGAGTCGTCTTAAGTGGCCCAAAGTTACGGCGACTTAAGGTCCTGGATTAGACCTTTCAAAAGAAGTCAAATGTCTAACATTGCTAAGTAACATACCTGAAGATGATGGACCTGTAGCAATTGGAATATCTGAGTAAGGAAAAAAATTATTAAGGGTATAATCATGAAAACTACAATTTCCTTGATTGTGATTCGTTTAAAAAACTCCTGTTTTCCACTAATTCACTTGCCAAGTGGTTATCGGACAGATTGTTGTCTACATATATAATGTGTGGTAGGCGAAAAAAACAACTACATATACATCCCTACAGACCTGTTTCGTGGTTGCCCACTCATCAGGGGATTTTAATAGCAGAATAATGCGGTACCATCGCTTATATTCTAATTGCTAATTAACGTGGTTTATGCAGTGTGAAAAGTTTATGGTTAACATGGTTTATGCAGTGGTTTATGCATGGTTTATGCAGTCAACATGGTTTATGCAGTTTATTAACATGGTTTATGCAGTGTGACACTTTTCACACTGCCTAAACCATGTTAATTAGCAATTAGTATATAAGCGATGGTACCGCATTATTATGCCATTAAAATCCCCTGATGAGTGGGCAACCACGAAACAGGTCTGTAGGGATGTATGTGTAGTTGTTTTTTTCGCCTACCACACATTATACCCGCTCTACTATTTGTATCGAGTACTGTTTCACGGACACCAAGTTTAATCCCTTTACACCGCTACAAGTTTTTGTTGAGCACTCTACGGCAACCCGCAACATGGAAAAATTCAACCTTAGTTACTCTACCAAGAATATTCCGTTACCATCGCGCAACGACTATTTACAACGTCTCATCGAAAAAAAAACAGCCAATTTTTGAACAGAATGCGCTGGAAGGCCTACTTCTTCCTAAATCCTAACACCTCACCTACATCCAAAGAGAACTACGGCTTCAAATCGACCAAGAATCCTCCACCGATCGAAGAACTAAAGGACTTTGAGGACGACAAGCTCAAGATAATACAGTCTGTAAAATTCAAGTAGGTGAACAGCCCATTCCTCAACAAACTAAAAGAAGACACCAACCGCATCAAGAACGAACCCAAGTTACTGGTCCCAGCAGACAAAACCACTAACTTCTACAAACTTGAACTCGCAGAATACAACGATCTCCTAGAAAAAAACGTAACAAAATCCTACAAGAAAGCCCTCCCTACAACAACCCATGCAATCCATAAAATAAGTAAAGACATCGCGACAAAACTACAAATCGATGACAGGGTAGACACTACAGCCAACAAAGACGCATTCATAACACTTAAAGACCACAAACCGAACTTCTCAAACAAACCGACATGCCGCCTGATCAACCCGACGAAACCCGAAATAGGCAAAGTGAGCAAACAGATCCTCGACCGCATCAACACCAACATCGCGAGAAAAAGCAACATCAACCTATGGAAAAACACCTCAGCCGTTATCAACTGGTTTCGATCTATAGACAACAAATACAACTCTAACTTCATCTGCTTCGACATAGAAGAATTCTACCCATCCATCAGCCTAGACCTCCTAAACAAAGCACTCAACTTCGCATCTGATTTTGACAACATCACC